ACCTACTGATTTTTGATGTGTTTATAGATTAAAATTTCAAAATGCGCGCAAGAATATTCTCGTTTGCATCTCTTCGGTAGTAAATCCTGACTCCTCCTATTTTGCTCCATGGACAGACAGTATTTAGACTTTCAGAATTGCTGTCAATTTCCGAAAAGTTGTTTGTTTCGCCTGTAATTAAACATATATTTACGGTTTCCAAACACCATGCTGCAAACATTTTGACATAGAATATCGCAAATGTATATATGGCGTTAGAAGATGCCATTTTTATGCGTCATAAAAAGTATGCCACATGTAGTTCACAAGATTTTTCAGTAAATTTTAATCAAATTGTCATTTTCGCAACCAATACTAGAAAAATCGAGACCACAATAAAATGCAGCTGTCGTTTACAAATATGGAATTACTATAAATCAAGTTCGAATTGCAAGGCTTGACGAGTCCGGCATTGGAAATCGTAACACTTACGTCCATGTGTTAAAAATCTCACAGCTGCAATTTTGGGGTGCTCTAGCGCACATGTGCTGTTCAGAGCAAACACGTAGTTTATTTACTTTGTCATACAGTTTTCAAGACTTTTGTTTAAGGATTTGCAGAACAAGAGTCAAACGTGTATACAACCACTGGAAGTATCATAGGACAAAGCCTGGCAATGATCAATTTTTGCCTACATAACAATCTAAATTAGGTTATTTTGTACTTACTTCGCTGTCGCCCTCAAGTGGCCGACACTTATGGGATTTCACGGCATTTTAAATGAGGGCTTCAAATCCCTTTGCGGCAATTATTCCTGCTAAATTAACCAGTCTAGTAAAGATTCCACTGACAGTTTTTGGTGCGTCAAAGAAGTATTTACCAGCTCAAAATGACAAAATGGACATGCATTCGCGGAACTTAAGTAAACGTCATTCTATATCCTCATCTTGAGAGCCGTTTGAATTCAGAATATGAGCACATGGTGGAATTGATTTTGCGCAGATCCGCGAGTGTCATCCGGCAGGGTCGGAGCAAGGTAGCTTTTAATTGGTTCGACATAATACTTTAATTTGTTTGTTTAAAATAAATAAATTGCAGTGAAAGTCAATAAGTGTCGTCCACTTTAGGGCCTTAACGAAGTAAGGACAAAATAACCTAATTTAAATTGTTATGTAGGCAAAACTTGACCATTTTCAGGGTTTAACCTATGGTACTTTCATGGATGTATGCACGTTGTACTCTTGTCCTTCAAACCAGTAAGCAAAGTCATGAAAGTTCATAAGCAAAGTAAATAAACTATTTGTTTGCTCTGGACGACACATGTGTGCTGGAGCATTACAGATGTGCAGCTGTGTACTTCTAAAACTCCAAAATCTCATGGCGTTCATTAACTTCAACTGCGGAGCTTTACACACATGGACTAAAGGGTTAAGATTTCCACTGCCGGACTCGTCAGGCCTTGCAATTCGAACTTGCTGAATAGTAATTCCATATTTTTAAATAACAGCTGAATTTTGTTGTGGCCAAGATATTTCTAGTATTGGTTGCAAAGCTGACAATTTGATGATAATGTACCATAAAATCTTGTGAACACATGTGGTATACTTTTTATGGCGCATAAAAATGACATCTCCTAACGCCATAGGTACATTTGCGATATTCTATGTCGAAATGTTTGCAGCATGGTGTTTTAAAACCCTAAATATATGTGTAACTACAGGCGAAACAAACAACTTTTCGGAAATTGACAGCGATTCTCAAGGTCTAAATATTGTCTGTCCATGCATCAAAATGGGAGGAGGCAGGATTTACAACCGAATAAATGCTAGCTTGTCTGGACATCTGGACCAGGGCTCTAAAACAGGGTTTTGAGATCGATCTGGAAAATGTTTTCAATACTGTTCCGCACAAACGCCTTCTTCACGAATTGAGCGCCGTCGCCATCCAGGGAGATATTCTGAACTGGATAAGGGCGTTTCTGCTTGGTAGGAAACAACGTGTCTGTATCGGAGACGATTTGTCAGAATGGGTGAACGCGACCAGTGGTGCGCCTTAAGGCTCATTTCTGGGACCATTACTCTTCATCCTTTATGTTAACGATAGCCTTCAGAAATTCGACTGCGGCAAAATAACGTTTGCCGACCACGTTAAGCTCTGGAAAGACATTAAGGGACCGAATGATCAGAGATGCCTTCAAGATAATCTGCACGGATTGCAAGCATGGTTGAATAAATGGCTTTTAGATTTCAATGTGAAGAAGTGTGTCGTCGCTCAAATGAGAGCCTGCGGACGTATCATCTGAAAGCTACAAGTCTGCCTGCAGAATCTCCACAGAAGGATCTCGGGGTTTGGATACAGAACAACCTGAAACCAACACTGCAGTGCCACAAGGCTGAAAAAACGCCATGGGAGTGCTGCATGCAATCAAAAGGGCTTTCGCAAACTCTGCCGAAGACCTTTTTGGGGAAGTTTATGGCATTTTTGTTCGGCCCCACGTAGAATACGGCATACAAGCCAAGGTTAGTAAATGACCAAGCATGCCTCGAACGAGTACAACGGCGTGCAAAAAAGCTGGTGAACGGTCTAAAAAGCCAACCTTACACAGACAGACTGAATTGCCTTTATTTATTCCTTCTGTGTTACATGCACAAAGAGGTGATCTTATCCTGGTCTACGAGATAATACATGGTCTTGAGCATGGGCTTAAATTTGAGAACATGTTTCAGTGGCACCTTTCACCCAATCTTCGTGGTCACTCAATGAAGTTACGGACAACAATGTCCAGGCTGAATATTCGTTCTGAATGTTTCACGCATAGGGTAGTGGAGAAATGGAACGATCAGAAGATGAAGATGCGATCACTGGAACGATCTCCCTCAGTCAGTCATGGAGGCTACGTCTCTCCAACTCTTCAAGAAACGCTTGGATGATTATTTCTGTCCCCTGTTTTCGCGCGACAGTCTGAATCTCAACTTATACCCCACATTCCCGGAAATATTTTTTCAGATACAATGCTACTTAAATGAATCGAGTACTGTTTTAATAGCGAATATTTTTATTTTTCATGTACTCTTATTTCTGACGAGCAGCAGCTTATGTTGTCCGTCAAATTTGAGCAAGAATGCTACCTACCAACGCAGGATTTTCGAAGAAGCGAATTTAAAATCCACCGGATAACTGATTTGGTCGCTTATTTAATGTGTCTTATTTTAGCTGATTTGTAAGATTAATTTGATTCAATTGGGAAAAAACAAATAAGGTAATTTGATTAAAGTACGTTTAGATAATCATGTCTTGGTATGGTCCTGAAAACTTGGGATGTTATGGCGCTTGCGTACATAGGCCCGACACTCACTGTCGTGATTCCGAGCGGAACCAAAGCTGCCAAGAATTTCGCTGTTTGCAAATCTGCCTAAGACTAGTATTGATTAAAAATTTACTATGATATCTTGTTTTTTTTCACCACATTACTTGCTGACTTGACTTCATAAGATAAATTTCACCTTTATCGATACGCAAAAAGCCAAGGAAATTTTGACAACTTCAGCAGCTAACATAGTTTCTTATGTTGTGTGTATACCTTGTAAAGTTTCTAAAATATATTTTATGTGCCTTTTTCACACGACAAATTCTGAATTATTTCCAAGCTCAAAGGAATAAAAACATAATATTGCACAGTTTATAGTAATGGAAGCATGGTCTTCAAATTTAAGATGCGCCACAATGTCCTGTTAAGGCATAAATGGTATCCGGGGTGGTGGTGGTGGTGGTGGTGGTGGTGGTGGTGGTGGTGGTTATATTTGACGTGGTGGGTGATGCGGGATGGTGGTCAATTCCGCTCAGTTGGACGCTCATGTGGCCGAATAGGCTCATACGATGCGCGAAGGTCCGACTGTAGTGCGGGTAATGGAGGTGAATGAGGTGGGTGTAGGTTGGTGCCCCAAACGCTGTTTCGCCAGTCTGTGTGAAATGGATTCGCAAGCAACCGGCCAGGCCGATTTGTGAGATGAATGTACGGTCGCAGTGAGGGCATGTGTACAGTGCGTGACCTATCTCATGAAATGTTGTCCGAAATTCTAAAATGCGTTTTCGATTAGGAAGGATTACTTGGTCGCGGTTGTAATACTGCTTTTCTTGTGGCATACTCTTATAACAGTTTAGGCTCGGCAGGATGTCGGCTTTCAAATGGACTTCTTTTAAATCTCCTGTGGAAAGCGTGCTCGGTAAAAGATGACTACTTATATAACATGCATTTTTCCCATTGATTTTCGACGGTCTTGCAAATTCAAATATATTTTATAGAAACCATAAATAACAGCATGCTTTCTTTTAGTTAATCAATAGAAAATCACGCCTCCTTTTATTTTATACTTAAGGAAGGAGTATAATTAGGTTTTAAAAAAGTTTTTTTAATTGCCGAATTATTTGGAGCCTGATTATTCGTTGTATTAGCGCTTAGTGAGTTCCCGCTACAAGGTGCATGCGTTCCGCTTAAAGAAAATCACATCTTTTTCTATACTATTAAAGAGATATCATACAGAGTCCATAAAGTTTGCAATGGCTGCGGACCATGTTGTACATTTTATGAGGGGCAGTGGTAAACGGCCAGGTACGATGCTATGTGAATGGACTTTTCGCGGTCTTAAAAAGTCTCATAATTAGAAAAATTCTTAAAACCTAATTATCATTCTTCCTTAAGTATAAAGTATAAAGAAGACGTGATTCTCTATCGATTGACTAAAATGAACCGCATTTTTGTTTGTGGTTTCCATAAAATATATTTGAATTTCCAAGACCATCGAAAATCAATGGGAAAATGCATGCTAGTTAAGTTGTCATCTTTTACCGAATACGCCTTCTATAGGAGATTGAAAAGAAGTGCATTTAAAAGCGGACATCCTGCTAAGTCCATAAGGTTATAAGAGTTTGCCACAGGATATTCAGTATTACAACCGCAACCAAGTAATCCTTCCTAGTCGAAAATGCATTTCAGAATTTCAGCCAACATTTCATGAGATATGTCACGCACTGTACTCCTGGTCCTCACCCCTGGAGTCGGAGGCTTTAGACGTGCTATCGGTTGTGGTATCGGAGATATGCGTGGTATTGTCGTGCGTGACAGCCGCCAGTACGGCCGTCGTTGGGGCAGTTGGGCATTCCAGGCTGCTAGAGTGAGGGGACTCATCCTGCCAGTCTGGCGATTGCGGCGGCGAAAACTAGGAGGAGGGGAAGAAGTAGAATTAGCTGGACGAGGAAGAGAGAGATTGTAGTTGTTTTTGTTTCGGTTTTGGCTGTTTCGACCGTGTTTGTTTTGTCTGCGGCAACGGCCAACTTACAGACAGCGTGTGTCCCAGCAATTTTAGGGCACGTTTTCTACCCCTATCTCCCTCGAGAGGGCTGGCAGCGCACCCCCTAAATTGGGCTGCCCGGCTATCCCGGACGGCTTCCGAACTCCATTATTAGGCCACGACTTTTTGTTTGGGAGAGAACGACTCGAATTAGTCTGGGACCTTAGTGCTGATGGGGTGGAACTCAGTAGGAGAGTTCATGCACACAATAGAACGCCATAGAACTTACACCTAGGATGGAGAATCAGACGTAATCATCAGTCAGAGACAAAAGTGACAGGGCAGTATTCAAAGTCAAGTACATTGACTCCTAGCTATTAGAAGAGAGAGCCACAGGCTTACAAATGCAGAACAGGCAGCAGACGGCACGGGAAGTAACTGGCAGATAAGAAGGCAAGTGAGTCAAGTAAGGAGGGGCAGCATTCGAAATCAAGCAGAGTAACAGCTAGCAATTAGGAGAGAGATGCACAAACTAACAGATACAGAATAGGCTACAAGAGCAGCGGACGGCGCGGAATCTGAACAGACAAGTAAGAAGGCAATTAAGGAAGGAAACAGAGCAAAGTTCGCTTACCTGAGGATTCATTTACCTGGTGGCCTTCTGCGATGGTCCAGTCAGAGCTTCGTCTCGACGATGTCGACGCGAAGATCCATCCGGCCAGCGGAGACCAAAATACCGTGTGAGCAGGTACGCGCACGGATATCCTCACCTGGTTTAGTCCGCCGGTCGAGGTCACCTGGGCCGCTGAGCAGAGCCCAGCTACGTGGAGCCACAGGTGAGAGTTAGTTGTCAGCGAATGGACGCTAGGCGTAGTCTCACCTGCATGCAAGTGAGCGACCACTACGACCATCACGTGAACCTACCGCTGGACACCCCTTACACATACGCACACACATGTATCACTTCCTTGCCTACTTGATCCACTTACTTCTCGGCCTTGATCTCGGCACGCATACAAAAATTGGTTTGCCGGATGCGGTGGCGGAGTGTACACTTTTCATGATAAGAATGACGACGACAGCGACACTTACCATGATTGTTCGTCTTATATTACCCTCAAGTGGTCGCATTCCTGTTTAGTTACCTATATTACCATCCATGGCCCCCTGTCGAGTGGTATTCGACGGTGAGCCAAATCAAAGTCCGATACCCTGTCGTCATTGGCAATGTTCATCCATAGGCGTGCTTCCCCTCCTCTTCCGCAGTACGTGTTCCAGATCGCCCTATTGCTTTCTCATGCATCTACTGCCATAATAACTTCCACCGGAGCTAACGATGGCGCCTCCCTGGCACGACTTTCGCTCACAGCGGTTACTAGCTACTAGTCTTTTCACAGGGTTAATTTGCTTCCTTATATAAGCGTCTTCAATAGGTCGTCATCATTCTTCCTTATCCCCTCCCTACACATTCACCGCCTTCTCTTCGCCATGCCGATCTCTTTTTATTGTTTTATTCAACATTTCACTATGCCTCCACCCTACGCTTGACCGACCACTGCGCATACCTTGCACCTCCTACTGCCCTCCGGCTCTGCGCCCATTCCTCTCCGTTCTCGCTGTCTTTCGGCTTCCAGACCCAAGCCGGAGTATTCATTTGCATCGCTAACAGTCTTCATCGTCATCCTTATAAAATTCCCCACCTACAACGCAGTGCATCACGTAGCAGACGATATTTTTTTGCAGTTTATGGTGAAATACCCGTGTCCATGCGTACTTTGAGGCCTTTACTTGGGGAACTACGCCAGCATTTTACCATCTCTGTTTTCGAAGGAGTCACTGTACCTCCTTTACACGATCGTCGTGTTAACCACCTCGTTCTCTGTACTGGTAGTTCGCCGTCGCTATGCGCACCATGTAGAATTTAGAATGCCATACGCAGTGGACATCCTCCATAAACCGGGACGATTGCGCAGTTGACATCAGTCCAGTACCATCCTGGGGCTTGGGATTGTGACAGTCCAAGCATTTTGCGGCTTGCAGTGAATAAGATTCGAATTCCTTTGTCAATTCATTTTGTCTAGGCCCACACATTTAGTCGCTTGCTTTATGACCGCCTCCTCTTCCTGACACGCGGCAGAGTACCTTCCTTGCTTTCCTTGGGCTGAAGAGGTCGACCTCCGACTGCGCTCCTCCGTCAGCACTTCTACCGCGTGCTTTCCACTGTGTTGACTGTGGCTCAGTCATTTACTCTTGTCTGGGGCGTTACCATGCAAAACGCCTTCCGCTCACCGACTGCGCATTATTATCATAACACGTCCGAAGGCCTTTTGTTGGCTTGACTGCCGCACACTTGTCGTTTTCTCCTACCTCGTATTCCGAGGACGTCAAATCGCAGCAGAAGCGCCTACGGAGGCTCCAGACTTCGCCATGTCATTTACCGCTCTCGTATCCCTAACCTTCTGCGCTAACCGCTTTCTTCCCTGCTACTACCCTGGTCGTCGATTAAAGGTGTGTACGTGCACCCGAGAACCTAAAATTCCCAGGACTTAGTTTATAATCAGTGATTACATTATTAGAAACTACTGCGTCAGCGTTAGTCATGTTCTGTGTGCAAAACAACGGACCCATATATACATTTCAGCAGTGCAGGCGTAACAGTTAGCGAATGTCCTCCTGCTAGCAAAGGGCTGATCAGAAACTCTGCAGAACAACACCTGTTTAGGTAAATATCATAGGCAGTGGTCCGTAGTTTGCACGACGGGCAAACACTTAATGCTTACCGTTACATTTTCATCAAAATGCACTTCAATGCCTTGGAGTCAACTGTGACTTTATTTGCAATGGCACATTGTTTTCAATTGGATTAAACCCCTCTCCTGTAGGTGATGTACCATCCCCAGCAAGTTGATGATTCACTTTGCTTCATGTTCACGTGATCGCTCTCTGTCTGACACCTACGGTGTTCTACAAACGCAAAGAAAAATTAATTGACTTTTTCGGGGTCGCTGGCAAATCGCGTTCTTGTAGTCTTCTGCGGCGTCCGTTTTTGAGAGTGTCACTTCTAGTGTAGCGATAAAATCTACTGGCTGTGCGTCTCCTGCGTTGTAGCCGGATTCATGTTGAAGCACTTGAATTTGGGTAGTCTGTCAGCTGTTTGGATGACAGGTTGTGGACGGCTGACGGTCCGCGCACGGGTGCGTGTGCTTGTTTTGCGTTGCACATTTTGTTGAGGAGTTGGGTCTTCTTGTCTCGCTCCTCGTTCACCTGAATCAAGATCCGTATCTCCAGGTTTCGTATTGTTTGCTCGTCCAGGTATGCTGCACATGCTGCTTTCTCCCTTTCGATTTCCCTGCCGTATTTGCGCAGACGAATGTGACATTCGTTGGTGAGAGTCCTTAGTAGGCGTCGGCTGCATCTCCTAGCGACCTCGCGGCCGTAGTCAGTGCTGGCTGGTGGTCTTACAGAAATGCACATCGAGATAATGCCCGAACTCAGACGGATGTGCACAAAGGCCTACTGTTCCCGTGTACCTCCCTGTCGACAGAAAAATAACTCCCATTGCCGTGCTCGGCGAAGCGCTTCGCGCCCGAAGTCTCATGGATATAGGCGACAATTCTGACTGCAGGTTTTAAGATGGAAGAGCAAGATGAGGCGGTCTCTGAGGAAGGTTTATTCGTCTGACGTTTTCTACTCATACACGAGCACATCCCCGGAGACAGGCCAAATGAGATAAAAAATGGTTTAATTAGGCCATTCGTGCTCGCGCCTGATAGGTCGATCCTGTTCTCCTCGTATTGGCCCTCATCTCGCGCGCAAGTGATGCCTGATGGACTCGTATGGCGCAGGTAGGTCAATACTGCGGTTGATCGAGTTGGCGTCTGATTGCCAGGCTTCGATTACTTCTCTCGCCAGCGTGCTTTCGGCTAGGCCGAGCACTTAGACACCGTCAAAGTCGAACACCTGATTATTTTCTAGACTGTGCATGGCGACGTGCGAGCGTACATCCTTTCGCTTTACGGCTAAGGCGTGCTCATGCTCGCGCGTGCGGAGTCGTTTGTCCGTCATGCCGCAGTAGTTGGTCAGACAGTCCAGACAACTGACGAGGTAAATGACGCCTGAGTTGTCTGCAGGTGGTAGCCGGCCCTTGGGTTGCATGAGTAAGCCGCTGATGGTGGCCTCCAGTCGGTGACCAACGTCCACGCTTAGTGGCCTTAGCATGCGCTCAGTAGCTTCGGAGACGTTTCTAAAGTAAGGCAGAATGTGAAAGATTTCAGATCTTTGCGTGTTATCACGATCGGCCCTCTTATGTCTTTGGTATGCGCATTTGTTCACCAAACCGCGCGGATATCCATTGGCAAGGAAGAGGTGCCATAGGGTTTCACGCGCCCTCAGCTTCTCGACTTGTGTGCTGCAGTGTGTGTTGATGCGGCGAAAAAGCGTTCGCATGCAACTGCGTTTATGCGACAGGGGCTGGTTGCTGTTTTAGTGGAAAATTTTCTCTTTGTTTGTCAATTTTCGAAAGACACCAGTCTGGAGAATTCCGTCTTCTTTCCTCTTTACCTGAACGTGGAGGAAAGGGAGCACTCCGTCTTTTTCTTCCTCCATGATATACTGAATTGATGGTAAGACCTAGTTCAATTCCCTTTTAAAGTTGTCTTTCGCGTCTCGGCGTAAGATGACAAAAGTGTCGTCGGCTTGTAGGACTGAAAGACTCGAGCTTCCAGTTCCTGCATGGCAGCCTCAGCCAGTTAGCCGGAAATCGGGGACTCATTGGGGTTCCTTGGATTTGCTCGTAAATTTGACCATCAAAAGTGAAGTATGTGCGTAGGCAGTAGTCTAATAGTTCCATCAGGTGCTTCCTCTTAAACGGGTTCCCCTATTCGTCGTACTTTCTCTACAGTGGGTCATTCATCACATGCTTGGGTAATGCTTTTGGGATTTAGGTAATTAGAGAGACAACGTCAAAGGATACCATTACCTCGTCGGGAGCTATTATAACGCTTTTGAGTTTTTCCAGGAAGTGTGTTGAGGATACGGCTGTGTGTTCTGAGCCGTCCGTCAGCCTCTTTAAATGTTTGGCGAGCCATTTAGCCAGTTTGTAGGTAGGCGTGCCTTTCAGCGACACAATGGGTCGTAGGGAACATTTGTCTTTGGAAAATAACTCCCAATTCCTGTACCAGTTTAGGATCCGAGAGGTAATATCCGAAAATATTTGTAGACAGATGAATCAGCATGGTCCTGCCCAAGCACGTTTCCATTGTTGCCGAAATTCCACAAGCCAAACGTTCCCGTACGACCCATTGTGCCGCTGAAAGGCACGCCTACCTACGGACTGGCTAAATGACTCACCAATCATCAATGACCTACTGGACAAATATGGACAAATATGGAAACCCGTTTCAGAGGAAGCACCTGATGGAACTATTAGACTACTGCCTACGCACATACTTCACTTTTGGTGGTCAAATTTACGAGCAAATCCAAGGAACCCCAATGGGTCCCCGATTTCCGGCTAACTGACTGAGGCGGTCATGCGGGAACTGGAAGCTCCAGCATTTCAGTCCTACAAGCCGATGTTCTGGATGCGCTACGTGGACGACACCTTTGTCATCTTACGCCGAGACGCGAAAGACAACTTTAAAAGGGAATTGAACTAGGTCTTACCATCAATTCAGTATATCATGGAGGAAGAAAAAGACGGAGTGCTCCCTTTCCTCCACGTTCAGGTAAAGAGGAAAGAAGACGGAATTCTCCAGACTGGTGTCTTTCGAAAATTGACAAACAAAGAGAAAATTTTCCACTAAAACAGCAACCAGCCCCTGTCACATGAACGCAGTTGCGTGCGAACGATTTTTCGCTGCATCAACACACTCTGCAGCACACAAATCGAGAAGCTGCGGTGAATACAACCCTATGGGACACCGTTCTTGCTAATGACTTTCCGCGCTGTTTTGGAATGGCAATGGGACTTTGCTCTAGACATCGGGCTACGCTAGCTATTGTTAGCTCATGCGGTATTAAACAAAACATGGCAGCAACTTCGAACGATAGGATGCATTCGTCTGGACTTACTTCAAGACCTTGGATGTTTTGTAGGAACGGCTGAGAATTTTCGATGCTATATTGCGATCCATTAGTGATGTATTTTAAGTGTCTGTATAACCACTTGGCACTATGATTCACAGCGGCGCATCTGTCTCCTGCACCTTCAGAAGACCTTACGCACATGTGAAACAGGGGTCATTGAGGGCGAGAGATCTGCTGTCATCGGGGCTTCTGAGCTTCGATCTGGCAAGCTCCGAATGGGTGGCAAAGGTCACGAACAGGCAACCAATTACCAGGTCACCAACTGCCACCCATACGGAGCTTGTTTGCTTCGTGAAGCCATAGATCGGTGTGAGCCCTTTTCTGATTGAATAAATACCCGATCTGCAGCGACAGAGAATGACAGGTGGCGAGGCATTGATGGACTTCGGTTCGATGAAATGCTTGCTAACCATCTGGTGGACCCCAGTGGTGGATCAACTGCGCCAGGTCGTCTGTGCGCGGGTTTGTGTTTCTGGTCCCAGGTGCTGGTGGTCAGGGCTATGATTGGATGAATAAAGGCACAATAAGCCCGAAACAGTACTGTATCAATTTACCCGCATTCTCTGTCGTACATCCGTGCTGCTATTATGACGGCCGACTTCGACCTGGTAATTGGTTGCCTGTTCGTGACCTTTGTCACCCATACGGAGCTTGTTTGCTTCGTGAAGCAAATAGATCGGTGTGCACCCTTTCCTGATTGAATATATACATATATATATCAGAAGAAAAGGCGATCTCGGGAACCATAGTTTTACTGTCCTGACGTTTCAAAAGCATACAAGCTTCCATCGTCGGAGTTGAGTGTGGTATCGCGCCTCACAGTATTTATAGGTGGGCGACAATCATGTTGAGACGGGTTTTGTTCATACATACGAAGTCAAGGCGGCAGGGAGGAAGGGCCAGGGAGGGAGTCCTAGAGCGTCTTCTCGCCGGATGAAGGGGGGGGCGGTGGATCAGCTTTAGTGGTCACCAGCGCATGCACACAGGGACTGTGGCGGACGGGGGGGGGAGGGAGGGTGACGGGAAGTACTCAATCTACATCGGGGGCCGGCGTTGAGACGTTGGTGGTCGTCGCCCGTACCTTCATTGACCTTAACTGTCGTCCAAGGCTGGCAAGCTTGTTTACGCCGCAACGACTGTCCGTTTTCTCGTCCGCCGGACTAGTAGATGGAACGGCTGTGGTGACGACTGCGCATTCGTCGGAGCCAGGTTGAGGGGTGGCTGAGTGTGCATCCGCCATGGACTCACTCATGTCTGGATTCGTGTTTGGCCCGGGTTCACGTCTGCTCATTTGTTTACTGAGCTGTGCTCGAAGGGCTTGATAAGCAGCGGGAAGAGCCACACAACGGTTGATGGAGGTTGTCCCTGTGTGCCAAGCCTCGATTGTCTCCCTGGCTATGCGGTCGCTTCCTCGGCCCAGAATTTTGACGTACTGAAAGTTGGGACACACCTGGCGCAGCTGATTCACCACGGGGTACACCAGATGGGTTACGGATGAAGTGCTTATCACAAACTGAGATTATGGTAGGTGTCCTTGTAGTCACGCAGCACGGGTCGCCGATGACTCCTGCTTCTTCTGTCAGATTTCTCAGAACCTCCAACCTCTTGAACTGCATCTTCTCCATGGTCCTACTTGCCCTGTCTGGTTGTAGGATCATCTGGCGGCCGTACGCGCACTGCCGTACTGCTGGCGCGCAGTGCCGTAAGTGGCTGGTTTGTCAGAAGAATTCGCCAGACTGGTGAGCGAATTCGGGATGGGCGTCGCGCACAGACCTGAAGCCACAATCCGCCGGCAACTCATGCAGCCCAAGGATCCGATTCCCATAAATCGGAAATCGGGGGTCATTTACCGGATAGATGGCAATTGCGGTCAGGCCAGTTATGTTGGTGAAACCGGAAAACAGGTCCGCACGAGATTGCACGAGCATGAATTGGCCGTTAGGCGGAAGGATAATCTCTCCTTGGTAGCCGCCCACGCCTCCTCCCCAGGGCACGTCTTTGACTTCGGGAACGTGAGAACCGAGTTGCGCGCCTGCTGCAGGAAGCGTGGCATTCATTTGAGGACGCGATTAATTGACATATCGATCTGCCAATCGCCTATCAAGCACTGCGTGAACAAATCAACAGCGCAGCTAGAGGTCAACCCCGGTAGAGGTGAGTTAAATACACGACGAGCTGTACAGTTTTTTCATTCCTTGACGATGGGCTCGCGTGAGAGTTCGAAACGTCGGATAAATAAAACATTGGTCCCAGTGATCGCCTTCCCGTCTTCTTCTATACAGTTTGAAAGTGGACAAGGAGGTGGCGGTCGCGAGAATTGCGATGTTGAATATTGCCTGTTAATTCTTGTGGCGAGCGACTGCTGTCTGATGCGTTGCAGATGTCAACACACAGTAAACAAATGGTACAAACATCTAGACATATAATTTGGACGATAAAAGGTCCAGACCGACAAAGTTGACGGATTCGTGTTGATGATTTGGGTAAAAAGATGGGCTGACTGCTACTGGTTTATTTGGGAGCCAACGTTTCGAAGAATTTTTCCTCAGATAAAGTGTCCACAGGGTAGTTTAACCTCAGCCAAGGATATTTCAGACTGGTTGAATATACAGGAAGATTACTTCGAACGCGAATACCGGACATGCACCGGCAATGAGCAGAAATGACGTTACCCTGCAGGTCTCGGCCCGCTGGACGGGCCGGACAATATCTTCAAGATCGACGAGACCGAAATTCTCGCATGACATGACGGCCATGTAAACCTCGAGCTGTTTGTATCATAATTTGTCGGTTCGAGTTTAGCGAACAAGCAGAATGACCTTCGACCTTCAAATTCTGTGCTGCGGTTTTACCTGGGTAAAATAATTAGCCCCGCGTAGAGAGCGCGGGCCACCAACGCTCCTTTGACGCTGAGCCGAATTGCCCTGAAATCATCACGTCAAGGGGCAGCAACAATGATGAAAATATGCTTACTCACGTCGTGGATAGGGACTAACAAGCAATCGCCGCATCAAGTACGGCCCCAGCGATGAACGCAAGTTCTGTTAATTTAGAAAGGTATCTGAATGTCTGGCAATAGCTAGCTCAATGCGGGGCATTTGCAATCTCCAGCATTGTCACGTTCAAGCTTAGAACGTGGGAGTTGCTGTTGATAACCGGAGATTAGGCGTCTGCCTTGATTTTGTCAGGATGCTCTGGGGCTGGGACACTAAAATTTGTGCTGGAATCATGGCGCACGTCTGGGTCCAAATCACAGTGTAAACTTTCGAATTCCGCAGGTATCTCAAAAGCTCTTTTACTGCCGAAATCAAAGGCAACATCAACACATATCAGGATTCGGACAGGTTAAAAACAACTTAATAGCAGATTTCCCTGTGTATTGTGAAAACTTGGTCATAAGCATGGGATTATTTATAGCGACGATCGGGAATGCGAAACAATCCAGTACTTACTTCTATTAAATACCTACAGACATATGTTAGCTGGATAGGTTTAATTTGACGTGGCTTCTGGAGGATATATCCTTGAGGATGTACAACGACATGCTACAAAGGCTGTTCGTGACCTCAAAAATTTTACGTACGAGCAGCGCCTAACAGCTTTGAACACCTATCCCCTCCACTACAGGCAGGACGGAGGTGACCTCATAGCGACATTTCAGTTGCTAAGAGGACTAAATCTGGATGTCGACGGGGAAACATTTTTTGAAATGGCTTCCAAGTCTAATCTCAGAAGACATGATTACCAGCTTAAAAAGGAACTAAGCCACACAAGTCAACGTTCCTCCTTTCTCTCACAGAGGTCCATTCGCCAATGGAATTCTTTGCCGGAGTATGTTGTTAATTGCCCTACCGTGTGTGTGTTCAAGAGACAAGTGGATACTCACCTGCTGAAAGGCAACCCGAACTGCCGAAGCCTGATCTAGCGAATTACTGAAATGACCATAAATGTACTACTAACGTGATTTTAACAGATCCTTTTTGTACCTCAAACTTGATCCATATGGAAATTTTTACAGTCCGAATGCGGTGAACAAAGTTTTTCGCAATTATTTCGCGAATACCATAACCCTTTCACATTTATGTTCCTTTTTTAGATTTATGACTTCTCCTTACTAAAATCGCAAGCAAAATCTTTGCGATTATATTATTTTCCCTTACATCTGTACCGTCTAAATGGAGTTTTCAGGGCTTCTCTCGTTTACTCCAAAAATACCGACTGATCGCATTTCCCTTATCTTATTCCCTTGATGCTTAACCTAAATGTTGCCGTCATGATAAGCGTTTTAATAAGGCCTTAGCTTATATTTAGAGAGTAGTTTTAGGGTTGGGTTGTAATCATGGAATTAGTGTTATGGGGTTAGAGGTTGTGTTATCTACGTTATCAAATTCATTTATCTCATCAGTCGCGGTCATAACGGGAGGTGGAATTGAAGGAGTACTCTTCACATTTTTACCTTCAGCGTGATTTCTCATCAGGGGCTCGGATCAATTCACTTGGAATATCTAACCAATAACATTGTCTTCCATTTTTCCCGTCAATTTGCATTTCATAATGGCCAGTATTTTAAACTACGAGCTGGCATTTTTCACTTTTGATAATGCAATTAAACTAGATGGTTTGTGCTGAAGTACTTGACTACTTGACCTTTGACAATCTTGTCAAGTTTGTTTTACTGTAGCATTTGTTTTAACGTGACGAAGACTCCGCTGCTTGTAAGCTTCGCGCATCTTGCATGCTCTCTGGTCAGGTCGTTGCACATTTTAAATATTAACTATATTCACTTACTGGCCTTCCTTACCTCTCTCCGTTTATGAGGTTAGTAAACCGTAGTTCGTTAGTTCGCGGGAACGACATAACTTACGTCATTGGTGACTTCCGACGTTAGCGCAGACTTAAGTTCTTTCCTTCTGTAACATTAAATGACATTTAACGTCCTGTATTTATTTGCTAAATTTTAGTTCATTTATATTTCCCGCTAACCTTTTCACGATATTGTGCTACCTATATTTTGCTTATTATGTCTTCCTCAATTCAATAACCTGACGCTCCTGCCGAGTCTGTTCATACCGTCCATTTCACTTCGCCTGATTTCTGGCAACACCCCCCTGAACTTTATTTTATCCGCACTGATTTAGCCTTTTACTCCGCCAACATTATGAAGGAGTTTTCGAAATACCACAAACTTGTGGAGGTACTCCCTGCCAATATTATCTCACAAGTTCAATCCTTGTTAGTGAAACCCCCTGCAGACTATCCCTATCCTGCTCTGAAGGCGGAAATCCTTCGTCTCGATGCTATATCTGACCGGCAACGCTACCACCAGTTGATCAAGGAGGAATCACTGGGTGAGCGAAAGCCCTCAGAACTTCTCCGACGAATGCGTACTCTCTTAGGAGACATGGAGGTCGACGAGAAACTCGTTAAAGAGATGTTTCTAGAGCGGCTGCCTGCAGATGTCCAAACGATTTTGGCATCCGGCTCGCAAGACCTGACACTTTCACATTTTGCTGAAGTGGCAGAGCGAATGATAGAGGTTCAACGGTTCCAGCCACCTTCCGTTGCTCAGATTTCCACATCCTCTCCAACGGTTAACGAGCAGTTACTGCAACAGATGTCGGCTGTGGTGAATGAGATAGCCTCCCTAAAACTACAGCTTGCTCGCATTACCTGTAGTCGCTCACCCAGCCGTAATCGTTCACGTTCGCGACCTCGCACGGCCAATTTGTGTTGGTATCACGCAAACTTTGCCGCCAAGTCTCGCAAATGTTTTTCCCCTTGTTCATTTAAACCGAAACAGGGAAACCAGCCAGCCAGAGAATAGACGCGACCGTTTTATCTGGCTCTCCCAGCTCTGGTCGCACCTTTTATGTCTGCGACAATGTGACTCGCAGGCACTTCCTGGTGGACACCGCAGCCCAGATCATCGTGGTTCCCCCCACTCCGGTTGACCGCCGCTGTCCCAGCCCTGGTCTACATCTCCAAGCTGCAAACTGTTCTCCCATTTCCACTTTTGGTAGTCGTTCCCTAACGCTAAACATTGGTTTATGTCGATCATTCTCCTGAATATTTGTGATTGCCGATGTGCCTCATGCGATCCTTGGTTCTGACTTCCTAGCCGAGTTTGATCTCCTTGTTGACTGTCGGCGTTCCTATCTCCTCGAACGCACAACTGTTCATTCTGTCCGCGGTCTTACACCCTTTAATGACTCCTGCAATTTATCTGATCTGGACACAGGTATTGCTTGCCCATACCGAGACCTGCTCCTCCAACACCCCAACATAATCAAACCCCAGTTTCGCAGTGGTGAGATCCAGCATGATGTTGTCCACCACATTTGCACCTCTGGCCCCCCAGTATTCGCACGGCCTAGACGACTGGCTCCGTCCCGTCTGCAAGCGGCGAAGGCCGAATTTGAGCACATGCTGCAACTGGGCATAATTCGGCCATCCGAAAGTCCATGGGCGTCCCCTATGCATATGGTGCCCAAGGCAACATCAGACGACTGGCGGCCCTGTGGTGACTATCGCGCCCTCAACATTGCGACCATCCCGGATCGTTATCCCGTCCCTCCTCTTCAAGATTTTGCTGGAGCTCTTTTCGGCAAATCGGTTTTCTCGAAGATTGACCTTGTTCGGGCCTTCCATTAGATTCCTATCGCTCCTGAGGATGTTCCCAAAACTGCCGTCACCACACCATTCAGCCTGTTCGAATTTATTCGCATGCCATTTGGTCTTCGCAATGCTGCCCAAACATTTCAGAGGTTCATTGACCGAGTGCTACGTGGTCTCCCGTTTGTGTACGCCTACATCGATGACCTCTTGGTGGCCAGTCGAAATGCCGAGGAACAAAAAGATCATCTTGCCTTAGTGTTTGACTGTCTCGATCAGTTTGGCGTGGTCAGTAACCCTTCGAAGTGTGTTCTGGGTGTGCCGTCCCTTGATTTTCTTGGTCACCATGTCGATGCACAAGGTTTGCGTCCCCTCTCTTCCAAGGTTAAGGCCATTCGTGACTTTCTTCCACCAACCTCCAAGCGTCGGTTGCAACGTTTCCTTGGCACGGTAAACTTTTATCGCCGGTTCCTACCGAACTGTGCCGACCATATGCTGCCACTCACCAACTTGCTCTCTGGTCCCAAGGGTCCACTTGAGTTACGTGGCCACGCGCTGCCTGCTTTTGAGAGACTAACGACCTCCTTTGCTGATGCTACCTTGCTCACTCATCCTGCCCAAGAAGCCCCATTGCCCCTGATGGTTGATGCTTCGACCGTTGCCGTAGGAGCAGTCCTCCAACAGCTTATCAAAGACTCGACACGACCGTTGGCATTCTTCTCCAAGAAGCTTTCACTTGCCGAGACGAGATATAGCACGTTTGGCCGTGAACTTCTTGCCATTTACCTAGCCGTAAAACATTTCCGACAATTCCTTGAGGGTCGTGACTGTACAATTTTTACAGACCAGAAACCACTTACATTTGCCATCCGATCCCATTCTGACAAATATAACCCGAGAGAGATTTCTGAATTGGATTACATCTCGCAATTCACAACCGATATCCGCCACATTGATGGCCCGAAGAATATGGTGGCCGACATGCTGTCCAGACCTTCCCTCTCGGCGTTTCACCTCTCACACAGGATTGATCTTGGTGCTATGGCGGCTGAACAACGACGTGTTGGATGTCCTGGCGACGAGTCTGTTGACAGTCTTCAATTAGTTGACGTCCCATTGACCACCGGCACTGGCTCAATCCTTTGTGACGTATCGACTCCTTTTCATCGCCCTTATGTGCCTGCCTCGATGCGTCGAGCTGGTGTTCAAACTCTCCACGGACTCTCCCATCCTGGGATTTGAGTCCCACAGAAGCTCCTCGCGGAAAGGTTCGTATGGCCTGGGTTGAACAAGGATGTGAAACCTTGGACACGATCGTGCCTTTGGCGTCAACGTAACAAGGTTCAACGCCACAACAAGTCTACATCGGGCACGTTCCCCAGCAATGATGCACGGTTCAACCATGTGCATTTAGATGTCGTAGGTCATTTACCTCCATTCAGTGGCTATACTCACCTTCTCACCTGCGTTGATCGCTATACCCGTTGGCCGGAAGCCATTCCTTTACCGAATGTGCAAGCTGAGACCATTGTGAAAGCCTTCGTCAGTCGTTGGGTCGCCATATTCGGTGCGCCATCCATGATTACGACTGATCGAGACGTGCAGTTTGAGTCCATACTTTTCCAAACTCTCCTCAACTTCCTTGGATGCACATGTATTAGGATGACGGCCTACCACCCAGCTGCCAACGGCATGGTTGAGCGTTTCCACCGCCAGCTGAAAACTCCACTTGAGCAGCAGAAGATCCCGAAAACTGGTCAGACAATGTACCCGTTGCACTTCTTGGCATTCGTTTGGCACTGAAGTCAGACTTGGACTGCAGCGAAGCCGAATTAGTTTTCGGCACTACCCTCCGACTCCCTGGTGAGATGGTCAACCCAACCTGTCGTGGTGCCAAAGAGACACCGGAAAATTTTGTACATCGTCTGCGACAATTCATGCGCTCGCTTTCCCCGGTTCCACCTCGAGCTCCATCGACCGAGCCTTATGTTGAAAAAGGCTTAGCCAACTGCACCCATGTGTTCGTTCGGTGTGATCGTGTGCGGAAGCCGTTAGAATCACCCTAAGAAGGACTGTTCCGTGTGCTTGCACGTAACAGCAAGACCTTTCGGATCCTGCGAGGTGACAAAGAGGACGAAGTCAGCATCGACCGGGTCAAGGCTGCTGTTGCAGAGGAGCCCCCGGACGTGTCTCAAGGACAAGCATGTGCTGACCCCATACCTCCTCCCACACCTTTTCCACTTTCCCCACCTAGCCCTCCCTCCCGTATACTTCCTCTTCCTTCTTGTTCGCAGCATCAAACTGCAACCTCTTCCTCCACCCTTACCTTGTCCACTACAACACCTACACAGCTGCCTCCAATAGTGCCTCCCGCATATATCATCCGCAGTGGACGTCACGTTCACTTTCCCGATCGCCTAGTTACTCATTTCTCCTAGAGCTTTGTATGTACTCCGGCTTCGTTCACGCCACCCTCCGGTCTCGGAGGGGGGAACTGTGCTGAAGTACTTGACTACTTGACCTTTGACAATCTTGTTACGACGAAGACTCCGCTGCTTGTAGGCTTCACGCCGCTTGCATGCTCTCTGGTCAGGTCGTTGAACATTTTGAATATTATCTTTATTCACTTACTGGCCTTCCTTACCTATCTCAGTTTATTAGGTTAGTAAGCCGTAGTTCGTTAGTTCGCGGGAACGACATAAATTACGTCAGGTCTGTTAAATGCGTATTCTTAAAATTTGTTTAACGAAAACAGCCATTAGTCAGCTTTCATCACCCCGGCCATTAAATTCGTATTACTACCGTTACAGTATTGGGAGAATCCTTACATTCCCTTATTTTTTACTCTGACAACACCCTCCATCGTCACCTAAAGACTTCTAGGAAAATAATTAAGTAATCAAAACCATAACACGTTGGATCCACCCTTGCAATATTTCTGCTAACCTCCTTATCCCTGAAACGATAATAACGCTTTTTAAGAATCAAATCTCCAGTGACTACTCTTTAGCTCAAGCATTACCTTCCGAGACCGAAAACGTAAGAAAAAATATCTGATTACCTTTATATTCGGCATGGAAAGTAATTTTTTCACGCAGAAATAATAAATTAAGGTATTCTGGTGAAATTTCCTTGCAGTCATTGTAAAGGAAAGAGGTAGTCAAGGCGTGCAAACATAATCAACTCCTTTCTAACGCCCGTCGGCCAACTTTTATACATGTGGGGACGAGTTTGAAAATCGAGATCTAACTTTGTCATGACCAGGCCTAGCCAGGCATCGTCTATTGGAAACTGCAGGGTAAAGTACATAGCAATTGCAATTTCCTGCATAACATCAGCGCCGAAGACCAAAAAAATGCCGTAGGCAAAAGGCGTATAGTAAGGCCAAGGCATCTCGCGCTTGGAGACAGACCACTTTTCGAAAGCCTTTGTAGTAAAGGGGCGATAGACCTTTGCACTAGCCCGTTTCAAGCCCCAAGTCACTCGTCGAATCTGCGTGTCATTGAGGGCGCCCAATTCGGCCTTCAGGACGCTTACATTGAAAGCATAGTCATCATCGAGGACGACGAAGACAGGAGGTCGTTGTTGGGAGATGAAATGCGGACGACAGAAGGTGGAGGCCCATTGAAACGTATGAAATAATTTGAGGCTGAGGTTATAGTAGGTGTCCTCGTAGTCGCCCACAACAAGGTCACCCTTCACTCGGGCTTCTTCTGTCAGATTTCTCAGAACTTCTGATCTCTCGAACTGCATCTTCAGCATGCTCTCACCTGCCCGATCTGGCAGTGTGATGTTGAAACCGTCACGTTGGAAAAACCGACCTCCGCTGCTGCGGGGTAGACCCACGGAGAAGACCGCAGCCATGCGAAATTCAGGTTCACGCTGGGTTTCTTCAGCAAAAGCCCTCCGTATACGATCTCGATCTGCAAAATTGTAGACAGCTGACTTTATGACCACAATAGCATTAAGTGGTCTCTCGACTGCTTTTCCTGGGATACAGACGGTCGAGCTGACGCTGCGGAATCTTATTGTCTGATTAAATATGGGAGCCTGTGGATGAAGAAGGGGGCGATTGAACCAAACACAGCTGTACGACGTTTGTCGAAAAGAATATCTGACTTAGTTTATATCACAGCGATGAAATCGATTGTCTGTGAATTTGTTGAAGTGATCTAAATGGAAGCTAATGATAGCACACACGTAGAAAGTATTTTTATTTAATTCTCACTACCTCTCGCATGTCTCATTACAACCTATTTGCACAATATCTTTAATATTTATTACCTGAACTGACGGTATATAAGTGATATACCTGTGTCATAAATTTCCATATGAATGTTTTGGACATTGAGCGGAGGCCAAAAAATCTATACGAAAGCGGACCATTCAGGTAGCGAAGTCTAGGTCGACTTGCTGTGCTTCAGCCACAACCTCGTAGTTCACGAGAAACCATTGAATGTCCAGAATAACAGTGGTTCTACGTATGCTGCTCTCTGGAAGCGTTGGCCCACGGTGGCAATTGACAAACCCCCTAACTCGAAAATTGTGTCCTTAACCAGTGACCCAATTTAGGTAAAACAAGATTTCAGCCGCCCATTTTCTGTTCCTGAAAAGGTGTCCAGGAATGGGTGCATAGTGATGCGCTGATTTATACAGCAGTCGATAAATACAGTGTACATCGAAATGGAATCCATAGTACCCAATCCGAACAAGCGAGATGGGAACAAGGGTCCAGCGAGACATCGGCCAATCCTGTCAGACCTGGCTTGGGATATGGAATCCCTCGAGAACAGATGTGTACTTTGTGGTGTCTGAAGCAGTTTACCTGCCTACAATCAGGCTAAGAAAGCTGTCGATATCAGAATTCAATAAAATCCAAGGAGACATCACAGAGAGGCATTAAATGGAAATTGTTTCACGATTTAGAAAGAATTCAGATTTACTATATGGTTGCTGCTGTAACTTCAGCTGCGATTTCTTTGATAAAATCATTGGTTATGCTTCCAGTTATAGCGCTGGCTTAGGTAGCGTTTGCTTTAATGAAATACAGTAATAGCTATCTCCTAGTACAAAAGGTGCTTATACTTTAAATCCCAAAGATGCTATTTTTCGCATCTTAATTCTTTTTATAACGGTAGTCTTTAACTTAGTTCTGATTTGAAAATGGCCTTGATGCTAACTACGTATACGAGATGCGTATTTCCGCCTATCGTGTAGCACATGCAGCATGAAAATAAGAAATCTTGAGGCAAGTGTATTAATGTTTCGGGCTCAAAATTACTCGTGAACTGGAAAGGTTTTGTAAAATTCTCAGCCACCACTTCTTCAAGCACCCTTTCTAGAGACAGACATAATTTGGCGTGACATTAGTACATTAGTAGTGAAACGTTGATTGAAGTTCTGAAATGTGTTTCCGATTAGGATTACTTAGGCGCGGTTGTAATACTGATTATCTTGCGCCATGGTCCTATAATATTTCGAACTCGGCAGGATGTCAGCTTTTAAATACACTGCCTTTTAATCTCTTGTGGAAACCGTAGTCGGCAAAAAGTGACTTCTTAAGTAGCATGCATTTTTCTCATTGGTTTTCGATGATCTTACAAATTAATAAATATCTTGTAGAAACCATAAACAAAGATGTGCTTTCTTTCAGTCAATTAATAGAGAATCAGGTCTTCTTTGGATTTTTTTATTCAGGGAAGGAGTATAATTAGGGTTCAAATATGTTTTCCAATTCCCTGACCCAAATCTGCCATTACATTAGCGTTTAGGGATTTTCGTTTACAGGGTGCGTGATTTCCACGTAAGGGAAATCATATAAACCTCGATGCCTTTAGAAGGTGCCATATAGAGTTTATAAGATTTTGCGATTGATCCGGACTACGCTGTACATTTTACGAGGAGCTGTCGTAAACGTCCAAGTACGACGCTATGAGAATGGACATTGAGCGGTCTTAAACAATCTCATAACAAGAAACTTTTTTAAAGCATTATTATAATCCTTCCTTGAATAAAAAATATAAAGTAGACGTGAGTCTCTATTAATTAACTGAAAGAAAGCGTATTTTTGTTTCTGGTTTCTATAATATATATCTCAATTTGCACGACCATCGAAAATAAATGAGAAAAATGCATGCTAATTAAGTAGTCATTTTTTTACCAAGCACAGTTTCTACAGGAGATGGAAAGGCAGTGTTTACAAAAGCCGACATCCTACCGAGTCCGAAATGTTATAAGATTATGGCGCAAGAGAATCAGTATTACAACTGCGTCTAAGTAATTCTTCCTAATTGAAAACGCAGTTCAGAATTTCAGCCAACATTTCATGAGATAGGTCACTCACTTATGTGTATGTGCCCAATATATTTTACGTATTGCTCTTTGACTACAAAGTATTATCAAATGCGCTTAGAACACGGGTTCGCTGGAGACAAAATTATGAGACAACAGAAAACTGCTGGCCTTTTGTCAGGTGTTCAAGCAGCAGCTATGTCTTCCGAAAGGGGCTACAGTGTAGATGCACTAATCCGGCCAGCACGCGTGGGGGAGCCACAGTGGGGTCTAGCAGGGTGTACCGAGAATACACACCTCTAACGAATGCCAACACTTGAGATGTGGTTGCAGACCCCGTTTCCGGCGCACTTCGTGCCAACTGGAATTCCTGCCGCCCGTCACATTATTTCTACTTTTGGTTAAATTCCTGGTCAAGTGTTTTTTTGGTTTGGACCATGGAGTGTTTTGGTACGCTTACCTACGGCTCTGTTCATGACGGCTACCTGCGTCCGTTGCATCCTTTGGTCATTTTAACTGCAGCAGATGTGTTAACTCAGGAAATTTTTACCGAAATTCTAAAATGTGTTTTCGACCCTTAAAGATTTCTAAGGCAGTGTTGCGAAGCCACGATCGGGGGAAGGGCCCAAAACACACACACACACAACCGGCCAAAGATGCCTACAACGACCGCTTCTTAACTCTCTAAGTTAAGATAATAATGAATAACGCACCAGACGGCCCAACCTTGTACGATAAAACGTCAAAGCGACAATTAGTGTCGGACTAAAACCCATTTATATAAGCAGTGTAGATATTCTTTCTAGGCAACAGATGTTTGGTGGATTATTTACAATCATCTCAGCACATAGAGTTGAAAAGCAATTTTTGTAGACACCCAATGTTAATTTTTTACTTGTTCTTCCTAATATCGGTTCTTATGTGTCAATGCAGTAAAAATTTTCCGTCCGATAAACGAATTTACCAAATAAGTATACTTGTTTTGCCATTCCTCCCTGGATACATAGACCCCGCCCATAAAACCCCTATCACCTCCTTTTCCCGTAAGACAGGCCCATTTGGCTGATCGTGTGTGTGTGTTTGGGGTCCATCACCAGATAGCCGCCTGGTTGCAGTATTAATTAGCTAACAAATTAATTCCAAGACAATTCTGTTACTTCAGGATTCCAGCTTTTGAATAAATTCCTTTTCGGCCGCCTGAGAAAACTGTACTCTGTAAAATATGACAACTTAGGTTGTATGACCTTTTCATTTATGGTACTCCTATAAGTTCAATTATGTTTCATAGAAAACATGCACGAACATATTCATGATCTTACCCATTTGGGAAAAAATCACGTCTTCTTTAAATGTCGTACCTAAGAAGGAGTATAATTCAGTTTGAAAAAACTTTCCCAACTTTCCAATAATTTTGAACCCGACCTGCCGCTACACCTGCATTCAGGGTCTCGAAACTACAAGCTGTATATTTTCCGTGTACAGAAAATTATGCATTTCTACGCGGGTATAAGAGGAAACTATATGGAGTTCACAAAATTTAACAGTGGATTTGAGCCATATTGTCAACATAACAAGCAACATTAGTAAATGCAGGGATACGATGTTTAATGAACGGGTATTTCCTTTTGTTCAAAATCTCGCAATTAGAAATGTTTGTAGGACCAAATTATACCTTTCGGTAGTGGGAGTACAGTAGGTGGGCTAACTCATGGAATGTTAGCCGAAATTCTGAAATGCGTTTTCGTTTCGAAAAGATTAATTAAGCAGAGTTGGAGACCTTATCATCAAGCGGCATAATTCTTCAATAACTCAGTCACCCCGGGATGCCTGCTTTCGAACAAACTTATTTCCGTCAGCATGCAAAAGGTATACTCTGCAAAAATGGCTACTTATGTATCATGCATTGTCCTCTTTGATTTTCAGTGCCCTTAAAATTCAATCATATTTAATAGGACACATGCATAACAGTATTCATTCTTTTGCTCATTCGGTAGGAAATTACGTTTTCTTCCAATGTTATACTCGAAAAAGGCTATAATTTGGTTTTGAAAACTCTTCCAATTCCCGAATAATGTGGAACCCGACCTGCCATTGCACTCGCACTGAGGGTTTAAAAACTAAGAGCCGCATATATTCCGCTTACGGAAATCCATACTTTTTTCTACGGTATTAAGCAGACACCAAATGGCGTTCATAAAATTCCACAGTGGATTCGAGCCATGTTGTTAACTTTACGAGCCACATTGGTAAATGCAGAGACGTGATGTTTTATGAACAGCCATTTCACGGTATTAAGCAATCTCACTATTAGAAACTGTTTGAAAGCTGAATAATAACCTTTTTCGTGTATAAAATTTAAAGAAAACGTAACTTTCTGCTGAATAATCAAAAGAATGAATATTTTTATGCATGATTTTCATGAAATATAATTGAATTGCTTAGGGCATCGAAGGTCAATGAGAAGTATGCATGCTATATAAGTAGTCATTTTTTACAGAGTATAACTTTTTCATGCTGCCGGAAATAAACTCGTTCGAAAGCAGGCTTCCTGTGATAACTGAATTACTAAAGAATTATGCTGCAAGATGACATACTGATTCTTTTCGAAGCGAAAACGAATTTCAAAATTTCGGTTGAAATTTCATGAGTTAGCACACCTACTGTAATTTGTGCTAGGTTATTGCCGTTTTTTTCATCCTCCCTTAACGAACACCGTTGGGTCGCAATTAATGGGCATTTGGTAGTCTTTCAACGTAAAAACTTTCCAACAAACCTTCAAAAATAATGTTTTAATATTTCATCGTCGAGAGGCGATTGCCGGCCCACGTAGACCACTAGACGTAACAGATTTAAGAACAAGCGGGAAAATTGTGAGCTTAACTGACAGCCAGGGCGCCAGACCGACTACCAGGCAATGGGACTGGTATTACGTTTTGATAGAGTAAGGCAATTTAAAACAACCTCCAAATGCACGAATCTAATGCGGATTGGGAACGTGCAGAATGATGTTCACCATTCCACTGAATAATTTAACAGGCTTTTCCCGAACGCCTGCTGGGCAACATTCATTTCAACAAACACACAATCATATCGTGGGTTACTATGGTAGCCATTTAAAGGTTTGCGGATGGAAATTGTAAGCAGAAGGGCACAGTCAAAATTCGTTATTATTCCGTGGGTACATTTTCAAATTCGGAAATTTAGAGTAATAACCTCAATCTACTCGATCCAATCGTTGTGCAGAAATGTGCGTGTGTACTGTTTTCAGAGATAAGAAATTACTTCTAATTGATTTCGCAGATTTTTGTAAACATGCGCAACCAATAATTTTTCTTAGGCTATTGGAATTAAACTCCTTAAAACGTAAACGTCCTGGCCAGTCTGAAATATCTGCGGATTCTGCCGTAAGATATTTAAAATTACAAGCCTTTTAATTTACCTTTTTGAACGGCATCACACTGTAAAATGTCGGATAACCTTGCGTGAGACAACGGGTCTGCTGGATCATCTGAGAGCTGTCACAAAGGGACGCTAAAGCGGAGCTGTTTCGGAAGTGATAATGGCCGCAGACTGACTGCAGCACTGTTGTTGTGATGTCAGCAGTGATTTGTGCGATAAAATCATGCAATATGTCACCAGTTATAGCGCATGCTTACGCAGCATTTGTCCTGGTCAGATACGGGTAATATTGACCCGCCAGTATGAAAGATGCTTATGCGTTAAATTCCAGGGACGAGTATTTTCACATTTTAATCCCAAACATAACATTAATCTTATGCTTAACCCTGACTGCTTACACAGAACACTTGCAGCATGAAGAAAGTAAACCTTGACGTCAAGTGTAACTGTGTTTCGGGAATTAGTAAAGTTATTTAAAAGCGACAGATACCCATTCTTCAAGCATAATTTCTAGAGAAGGCTTAAATTGCCTTCTCAATCTGCTCGACCCCACCGTGTTATACAGATGTGTATGGCGATTTTAAGGATTAAACATTTCCCCTAACTGATTTAACAGACATTTTGCGCACGCATGCGACCAATATTTTATCAGGCCGTTGGAAATAAACCCAGGGTTCTGACCCGACTGAAATATTCGCGGATTCAGCTGCACGATACTCAATACAAGAACGCTTTGTAATTGATCTTATTAATTGTAAACACATTGTAGAATGTCGGCTAACACCGTGAGACAGCAGGTTTGCTGAACCGGTCAGATGATTTTAACTCGAAAGTACTTGAGCTTACCTCTGGTACGGGTCGACCTTTCCTTATGTCAGCAACCACCTGCTTCATATCCAGCGCCTGGGGATAGAGCGAGAAGGCAGAACGAGGAATGGGATATATCCAGTCCTCATCTGCAATCTCCGTCATTTCCGCGAAGGTATATCGCTGACGACCAGAACGATTTCGCTGAATAAGCCGACCAAGGACCCATCGATCGGAACTTCTGGTGGTATTTGCCCGAACCTGCACTACGAGAGACAAGTCAAAGGTGTTTGTCCTGTGCGAGAAAGCAAGACGATACCCGTCGGCCTGCCAGATGACGGAAGATGGTCTGGTGAGTATTCCCCACCGAAGGAATGTCCACCATTCTGCGGTTAGCAGAAAGATGACAAAACTCACTGCCAAAAGTAGATAACCTCTGAGTCTGCTTGGGAAAGCTGAGTTCTGCGACATCTCAGTTGGCGTGCCAACTACTCACATCCCGTAACGCGATTAGTGAGACATTTATCGGGTGACTTTAGCTGTGGCAATGCCGCAGCACACCCGGTGCTTTGATTTATCCCGCCAATCAGCAAATGCGCACGCTTCACCTGAGCCATGCACTTTTTGTAGCGTGTGCTTATAGGCAAGCTATCCACCCATCAATACTTGTGAGTAATTTTTACATCTAATTTTAGACTTGGCACGCCAAATAAGTTGGCGATGGGATAAGCTAGTGTTTTGTCTTAGAGAGAATCGCTCAAGGCCAATTAGATCACAGTGAGATCTACTAGCACAATATGCGTTTGCTTATAAGAGTTTCAAACATCCGAAATATCTTCTAGGGTTGAATTGTTGTTTTCATCTCAGTGGCTGAAATTCTACTAGACTCACTTTCGTTGCCACTGTTCACGTGAGAACGTCGCCTAAATAAAGCAACGGTGATTCGTTGACATATGCTGGGAGAGACTGTTTTCAGGGCCAAAGGGCATTTCCTCAATCGACTTACTTTTGTTTTTCTGACTGATTATAGTAAGTTAATGATTTCGTGGGAAAATCATATATACATACATGAGAAGGAAAGGCGATCTCGGGAGCCGTGGTTTTACCGTCCTGACGTTTCAAATTCAAACAAGCTTCCATCGTCGGTTTTTCGTATTGCTTCTGATATATGCATAGAGCAATTTAGGTTTTTATTGCCCCTCTTCTAGGAGCTTCAGTTCATAAGAAGCTCGTACTCCTCGGATGAGACTTTTGCATAAGGTTCGTTGTTGTCCGAATTCCTAATGTTTTTTTCTGGGTTCTCCGTTTTTAAGAAGATTTTCCACAGCTTGCTTTTTTTGGATTGCCTTCTTTACCGAGGTTGACAGCCATTTGGGTTTGTTTCCGGTTGGATGTTTCTTGAGAGGATTGTATCGTTTAATCAGGTCTCTCATAGTTGATTCGAAGGTTGTCCAGCATTTGTTGACGTCTCCTCGTAATGCTTCCGTCCATAGTGTGTGTGCAATCTCTGATTTCATTGCCTCAAAGTTACCCCGCCAGACATTTCTTAACGACTTTGAGCTTCGTTCGGGGACGGCTATGAGTGTCGACTCCCACATTAATGTCATGTGATCACAAGAACCTGGGTGCAGGCCTGCATTTATTTCATCAACGCTTTCCTCGTTCTTGGAAAACACAAAGTCTAGGCAACTAGCTCTCTGACTAACAGCCATCCGAGGCACATTTCGTACATGTTGAAACAGAAATTCATCAAATACCATGTCTAATAGCATTAAGTCGAATCCTTGTCTGTGGCCCTTAACTGTCATAAGGTCGCAGTTAATCCGCGGAGCATTCAAATCTCCTACAATAATAATGTTTTGGTTTCGACTGTCCTAGCGGTGTCGAGTGATTAACGCTTGACCTTCGTCGGCAGGTTGATTTGGAGGCCCATATACAACGGTGATAATAACGTGTTCGGCTTTGTGGACCAGCAAATGACACTGCAGCATCTCCAGATCATGCTCATTTACACATTCTTCAACAGGGTTATATTCGACCGCATTCCTGATATAAAGGGCAACTCTGCCACCACACTTTTTGGTTCGGTCTCGTCTTAGCACTTGATAACCATCTAACTGTATTTGGGGGCCTGTGACATCTGGGGTGAGCCACGTTTCAGTTAATGCAATAACATCAGGACATAGTTCGGCCACCATTATTCTAAGTTGGTCGAGTTTCTTCAAGAGGCTTTGTACATTTCCGTAGAAGAATTTAATTTTATGTAGGCTGTCGTGTCGAATTAGTTGCCCGGCCGCGTGGCCTTCGTTAGTATGACAGGAGTCCTCCACAGGAGGGGTCTTTGTCGTCGAACAATCACTCCGTTCATTATTACTAGTCCCTCCTCCCCTTGTTCTTTCAAGGTCGCCAGCTCCGCCTTCAGCGCCCTTCATTTCATTCTCTCTTTTACCGAGTAGTCCGGTTGAAAAAAGACCTCTATGGCCAGGGATCCTCCCTACTGTTCATTAAAGTAGAAGATCCCTCTGGAGTTTAATTTCTTAAACTATCTTTAAAGGCCTTCGTTTCATCCCTTGAGAGCCCGCGCTATATTTCCTGCTTAGTCGGAAAAGTTTCAGAATCTTAATGGCTTTATCTTCTTTTTTTATGCTACCCAGACACTTTTGTAAGGTCATGATATCATCATTTATCTTACATTTGGGGTTATCATTCGTTGATTTACGAAGTCCATGGACGACTACACATTGTGATCTGTCCACAGCACCTCCATTCGACGAATGTTGTTCGATAATTGGTCTGACCGATGACGAGCCTACCCCAAATTGGGCATCGTCGCTAGTTGCAGGAATATTCGTGAGAGTATGTACTTCCACTCCCACTCTAGGTTCATTTTTATTCGGTCTTGTGTTGGTTGACGCTCCCCTCACACAAGGCTCAGGAGATGCGCATACTGTCTCCGGACTGTTTTCCTCTTTCGTCGGTTCATCGTTATCATTTTCATTCTCGGCCCTCGGTTTCCTTTCTGACGAGTCTGATACCTTCGTCTTCGGATTTTTGCTACCTTTCTCCATAGTCTTTCCTGTCGCCTTTTTCTCAGTCTTTAGTGATTTTGGAGGTTTCCCGTCACCACTAAGAACTGGGATTTGATACTGCTTATACTGGTTGTCTCACGCTCTACTCCTCATTACCCTGTGCGTAGATGCTGCCAACTTATCCTCCATCATAAAAGTCGGCTGAATAAAATTCTTCATGATTCTAACTTTTTCCTCTAGTTGATTTAACTTTGAGGCTAGCTTTTGGCAACCGCTGCAAGAGGTTTCCACATGCGTCGGTCGTAACCAATATGTAAGGCTTTTAGAGCGACCGCCCAGGCTTGCGGCGATAGCGCAGTGGTCTGCGTCGCAGTCTTCCACTACTGTGGTCCCGGGTTCGACCCCACAGTGAGTACCGTTTTGTACTACTTAAGAGTTCGTCATTTTGTGCTACTTTAGAATATCCAACAAGAAAAAAAACAAGCAGGTGAGATTTTTGCCTTAGTTGCGAGACGGAAAGTCTTTGGCCTCGTTCTGGTTGTTGAGAGTCACCGTATAAGATGAATATCTTCGTCTTAAAGAGGATCGTCGAGCTAATACAGGAAGCAGCTGTTTAGTTCTAGGACTTTATCGAGTACGTTCGAAATATGATGCATTCAACGAATAAGATTAGAAGAGTAACTCAGGCTATGCGGGCGTTGTTCCTTGTGTTTCGATGGAAGGATAATCCAAGTTTGTTGGCTCACAAACAGCATACATGAGGAATGGCTGAAGTTCGCGTCCTGCGAATCAGCCTTTGTCGCCAAAGAATCGTGACTTCCGATTAGATAATTCAGTAAATCAGAGAAAACGCAATCCACGAGGGAATAATTGTGCATCGGCGTGCTCTTAACACTAAGGTAGAGACGACAATTTTGTAACTTGGAAGATTTAAAATTTCGAACCTCGTTTAAAAGGACCCGCCCATCTATACACATTGTGAGGCGCGATACCACACTCATCTCCGACGATGGAAGCTTGTTTGCATTTGAAACGTAAGGACAGTTATACTATAACCCCTGAGATCGTCTCTCCTTCTCATTTATGACCGGGGACGAGCATCTTTGCATTTACATATATATATTTTTTTTAAATAGAAGAGGTTCTTCGGAAAAGTCGAGTTTTACTCGTGAATTTTCGAGCTGGTGACACCAACCCGTCGTCAGACGAAATGAAAACGAGGGAGAAAGTTGGGCTGTCACACTAAACCAGTTGGTGCGATAGGACAGATCGACCACCGACGTATGAGGGGGTGGGCTCCTGAGGTCATGGTAGGTCCCTGAGTGATGGAGGGGGAAGGGAGGGGAGGCGGAACAGCTACGGCACACTGTGCTGGAGGGGGAGGGTGGGTGGTGAATCAGTTGGAATGCAGGCAGCTGTATTCGCGGTCGCTGATGCTTTATTAGGGCGGGGGACAGTCAGTCGTGAACGTAGACCTTCGTAATGGGCATCTAAGTCAACGTGTCGGTTGATACTACACGCACTGGAGTACCAACCCTCGAGAAATTCCCCCGCTCGTTTTGTGTTAGCCATAGCGACGACCTTTAGTGCCATCCCAATGGAATCGGTGGTCGTACTCGAGCGCAGTGTGCCGTAATTGTTCCGCCTCCTCTCCCTTCCCCCTCCCTCACTCAGGGACCCATCATGACCTCAGGAGCCCACCCCCTCATACGTCAGTGGTCGATCTGTCCTATCGCACCAACTGGTCTAGTGTGACAACCCAACTTTCTCCCTCGTTTTCATTTCGTCTTACGACGGGTTGGTGTCACCAGCTCGAAAATTCACGAGTAAAACTCGACTTTTCTGGAGAACCTCTTATATTTTTTATTATATCAATTCGGAATGCATACCACCTCTGATCTACAATATGTATATATATATATATATATATATATATATGCATACATCAGCATGAGTGAAGATATGAGATCCAGTTAGATTGTCCCGTTCAGCATCCCCAAAAGAAGACGAAGAAGAAAAATAGGCGATTCCATGGACCACACTGTCTTCGTTCTGTAGTTTCGGAAACTTCTTCGTTTCCATCATCAGAGTTGTGGTAGGGAGTTTGTTCCTGCTAGCCCAGAGTTTTTCTGTCCC